ACAGGAATGGCGAAATAGGGCACCCTTGACGGACACCGCTCCTTGTTTCGAACGATTTACCTAGCCGACCGTAAACCCTTACGCTACCAGTAGTATGCAGATACAATGACCGCAATAGGTTTACATACTTCCGCGGCATTCCTTTGCGGTGCTGCGACCCCAGAAGAGCTTCACGGTCAACTGAATCGAAGGCTCCTTTAAGGTCAAGGAACACTGCGATTGTTGACCGACGATGTGTGTGACGCAGTTCGAGGACTTAACACAGAGTGAAGATTTGGTCAATGCACCCGCGACCTGGTCGGAATCCGGCTTGTTGTTCGCGGATATTCCTCTCCCTTAAGGATGCCAGGCGGCGAAGTATCACAGAAGTCAACACTTTTGTGATTATCGGAACTAAACTAATCCCACGGTGGTTAGCGCAGTCGTCGCGTGATCCCTTCTTGAAAATAGGGACGATCGTCGATTCACTCCAGGACAAAGGGATACACTCCTCCGTCCGTGGGGCAAACCTTACAGCATGTAGCGGCGAGAGGTATGGAGTGCTCGTTTGCCAAATCGCGGTGCTTTATTACATCAGTATTAGGTAAGGAGTACGTTTATACGAATTGAACGTGATACTACTCAGCCATTGGTCGATTCTGTGGGCGATAGTTGTTTTTTATTCTTCCGGTTTTTATGCAATACGATCAAATTGTCATCTTGTTGTGTGAGAATTCTGTTATTATTCTCACACTGGGCTTGTCTTCTCATGTGGTTCTCTTCATCTGCTTTTCTTCTTGTGTTTTTGGTACTGCTTGAGGCTCGTTTGTGACACGGCTCCAGTTTGTATTCTATTATTGTTCCGTGTTACGTTGTGTAGTGTTGCTGTATGATTAGGCTTGGAAAAGATACCGAACAAGACTGTTTTCACAGAGTAATTTGTGTTTTTGTGTTATTCCCTCCCCCCCCCCCCTCTCCACGTACATCTACTCAGTTGGCTTGAAAGACAGCGTGTACAGCGTCAGTCCGGGCAGGCCGCTGATCCCGAAGGAACGGCTTCCAGCGATGAGGAAGAGGTATCCGAACCTCCGGACACCAGACTGACCTCAGACAATTCCAATGATACTCGATCTGGTCAACCAGGCGAGGAAGAACAGCCATGTAGGTCGTCACTTTCGTTTCTCCGTTCTTTCGATCACCGGACCGATTTTATCCCCTTGTTTTTTCTCTTGTTTTGTTCTGTGTTTTACTTGCTCATTCCTCCATGGAATGAAGCATCCGGAATCTTTTGCAGGGCATGAAAACCCTAACCAGGGGACCGGGTCACATAGGTCCCGTTAGGCTCCCTGGATGGGGACTTTGGGGTGATCGTAACTCATGAGTGATTTGGTTGGGTGTCGTAAACAGTGGCGTTCGTGTATCTCAATCTCTTGGTGATATCAGTTCTCTGAACTTCTACATTTTCTATTTCACCCTCCTGTCAACTTTCTTGCCCTTCTCCTAATGTTCACTCAAATGGGCGGCTAAAACCGGCGCACGAAAGTGCATGGTTAATGGTTGTTCAAACTGAAACCGCAGAGCCTAAAAATGTCGTAGGTCATACTGTGCTTAGTGCTTCTGAAAATTACTCGTTTCCAATCGATATGATATTCACTCGTGCGTGTTTATTGTCTGCACAGACGGAAAAGTCACGCGACCCTCGTAATGGATCACAAGCTGTACAAGAATTACAACGTTCTTCCCGTGATATCCCTATTCTAGTTGGCATCTTGAGTAGACCAAACTTTTCTGTATCTGCCCAGATACAGCTATTATCTTTTTGCGCACAGGTCTGTCCATATTTAGAGTTAATTATCGTAACAAATCGACTTCAAATTCGAAGGCTCACTATCTAGCTTCCGATAGGAACACAGAAAGTATGCACTGTTTACGGCGGCAAAAGTTTCGGATGGTCTCAATAACGTTTTGTTCTAAGTCATCTGTGAGTTGTTATTCGTAAGCCTGGCTGAATAGCAAATCGTAGAGTTCTTATTTATCGTAATGCAAGTATGCAGCGATTTGAATTGGTTACGGGTTGCCGATT